CATACATACCCATTGAGACTACGTTTGGATCTGCTTCTTTTTCTTGCTGTTATTAACATGCCAGTAGGTGTGAATGGATTTAAATTCGCAGTGGGTTTTTCCAACTTATTCGGGTAACTGGGAGGACTTATCTTCGAAGGTCTAGGTTTTTCTAGATTAAAAAATCTAGAACACCTTATTGGTACCGGAGTTTGTAACACGCTCTTCTCTATCAGAGTTTTTGGGGTTGTGGGCGAATCAAATAGACGTAATGCCCTAACGCGCTTGTACGGTGGACTACAACCCATTGAATTCTTGTGGGAAACAGTTTCGCGACTGATAGGAGCTCTGATGACCGGAGTACCTGCAAATAAACGTTTATTCGACATATAAAACTTGTAGTCGTCATAAAGATATCTTAACAACTAAAAGAGAACTTTCGCAAGCTTACAAGTAATAGAAATGTTGATCTGATTAATCAGCTTTTTACTATGTTATACTCTTATTAAACTACATTTTCTTTTTTGTCTCAGAGCAAAAAAGAGACTGCTCGACATCATTGAAATAACACGTTAAAATTATCTCAAAATAAAATGTAACAGATTAGAAAATAAAAAAAGATAAGAATGGGTTTTCTTCAAACTTTTATCACAAACCATAAAACGTTTATCATAATACGTTCATCATAAAACGTTTATCATAAACATAAAAGAAAATTTTAATAAAGAAACAAAGAAAATAAGACAAGGTACGCACTTAAATATGATTAGTGAAAATTGGCTATAAAATTTTATCTCTCAAAGCGACAAACTCAATATTTAAAAACTCACTCACAAGAATGATACTTTTTAGCAACCAGAATTAAGTTGTTTACTTGCACATGCACGTGTTTTTGCCAACGAGTCAAAGCATACATGCGATACTGCACGTGACAATTAGATATTACATACACTTGTGACATCAGTACACAGAGACTTTAGAATCACTGATGCTGCAACTTCGACTTGAAAAAAACGTAATCAGAATGTCGATCGTAATCAGACTATCAAATAATTTACGATCGCAAATTCAGAAATTGGACAAAATAGAACTTTATAGAAGGTACTTGTGCACGATGCAAAAAAAAATTGTCTAAATGTATCGATATGTCAATCATTTCGCACCATGCACAAATACGATTTCGAACAAGTGCTTGAAATATTAAGATCTTGAGAAGAGAAATTACAGAAGACAGAAGAGAAGAATAACGAGCGTACAAAGAAGAAACGCAGAGAAGATAACACAAAGGAATACAAGAAAGAAAACACAGTCGTCTAGAATCGGATTCAAACTGGAGCGTTTCTGAGGGTAAAACTGGCAAGACAAACGTCCATTTCTCACATCTGTGTCCGCCGACAGGATCCATGTTTCGTGCAACAAAACCGAATTTCCGTTTGCCGTACAGACAGCTCTCCGCTCCGATCTTTTCTGGCTACGCGTACGGGAACGAACTCGGCAATTAGCGCCGCGATTATTTACTCCCTTCTTTATAATTAGCAACGGCGAGCGAGATCTCGCGCAAAAAATTCACGACGCGTCTCGGTGCGAACCGTTTCCGCAAACCGTTTCAGGGCTCGTTTCCAAAATAGATTCGATTCGTAAATGAAAACACGAGGTCACGCTCGACCCCGCGCACCGGGGGGGAAGGCAGGGACGCCGTGACGTAGCGCGGAGAGGAAGGGTCGCCCCTTTGTGTGAGAAGCTGCACCACGTTGTGCTCCTCATTTAAAATGCAGCAGGTATATAATTGGACGTTGGAGAGAGAGGGATGAAAGACGCAGAGTTCGGAACTTTCCGTGTTATCCTTTCCGCACTTAAAACACGTACGATAAAGTACAAAATAAATAAAACAGGTGATAAGTAGACATTAAAGAGAGAAAGATGAAAAGTGCAAAGAGTTCAGATGCGACGTAAGCAAACGTAAGATTCCCTTCTTCGTATCTACGCCGTCTTATACTTTCTGCAATATAAAATAATACACGCTAAAGTACACAATAAATAAACCAGGTGTGATTTGTAAACATTGGAGAAAGAGAAAGAGGGAAAAGTGTAAAGAGTTCAGACGCGACAAACAAACGTAAAGATCCATTCTCCGTAGCTGCACTTAAAATTAACAAACAACGACGTGCAAA